AAAGGAAAGAGAATAACGGCTTAATGGTTACAGGTCTCCTTTGGGGGTGATGAAAACAGAAGGGATGATTGCACAACATTACCAATGTACTAAATGCCACTGAATGGTACATTTTAAAATGGTGAATTTTGGGACTTCCCTGGTGGCGCAATGGTTGGGAATCCGCCAGCCAATGCAGGGGACACGGGTTCGTGCCCTGGTCCGGGAAGACCCACATGTCGCAGAGCAGCTGGGCCCGTGAGCCATGGCTGCTGAACAGTGCTCAGCAACGGGAGAGGATACAGCAGTGAGAGGCCCACGTACCGCAAAAAAAAAAAAAAAAGAAAGAAAAAAGAAAGGAGGAACAAAGAAAGAGAGATCACAGAAACCATAAGGTAGATTTGGACTATAACCGATGTCATGAGGAATCATGAGCCATGATAAGCAGAAGTCATGTGGTAGAAACAAGACACTGAATAGAAGGTAAGAAACCACTTGGAGCAAGAGAACAGGGCTGAAGCTCAGAAAGGAGCAGAGGTGGGATAAGAGAGAGCATGGAACCCAGGAGAGCCCAGAGGCAGAGAGAGACGTCCATGAGCAGAGCAGCTGGGGCTTCTAGACTCCACACACATGATCCTTTATCTGAAGGTGGCTTGAGAGAATCTCTGTCCCTTTCAACCAATACTGACAAATATCAATCTAATTACAGTCATTCACTGATGCTTCCTACGGCCTGGCCCCCTGCTATGTGCACTTACATAAGTCTCTCTATATTTTTTAAATATTTGTTTATTTTTGCCGGCGTTGGGCCTTAGGTGCAGCACACGGGCTTCTCTCTAGCTGTGGTGCTCAGGCTTAGTTGCCCCGAGGCATGTGGGATCTTAGTTCCTCGACCAGAGATTGAACCTGCGTCCCCTGCATTGGGAGGCAGATTCTCAACTACCGGACCACCCGGAAAGTCCCTTAAGTCTCTTTATTTATTTATTTGGCCACGCCCTGTGGCTTGTGGGATCTCAGTGCCCGGACCAGGGATTGAACCTGGGCCATGGCAGTGAAAGTGCGGAATCCTAAACATTGGACCGCCAGGGAATTCCCCTTAAGCCTTTTTACATCCCTATGTGCTACATGCCATTAACAGACTGGGGTTAAAGAGGTTAATTCATACACCCAAGGAGAGGGACCTTGGCCGAGAAGCTGGGAAATCAGTGGAGGTGGGAGAGAAAGGGGCACCTTATTAAAAAAAAAAAAAAAAAAAAGGATGTTCTGACTATCTATTTCTTGAGTTTGGAAACTTCCCACCACTTCCTTAAGAAAATGCATGGACTGAGTCATCTAGGATGCCTCCAGGGGTCCTACCTGATGCTGTAGGCAGAGGTGGAGGAGACCATGAGGGTCCTGACCGTGTCCCGCAGGAGCTGCAACTCCTGCCAAGAGAACAAAACAGATACCACTTCTAACACCCTCATCACTGGATGGCCCTCCTTTAAGCCCCACATTTCCCTAATAAGAAGTGAGGCTCCTGGGCCTTAGAAACTTGGACCTTCCTCATTAGCGGCAATCGGTGGAAGGGATTTTAAACAGGTACCAAGTGAAAGGAAAGCCAGATTGATGAGCAGGAAGGCAGTGAAACGTTGGGCTTCCCTGGTGGCGCAGTGATTAAGAATCCGCCTGCCAATGCAGGGAACACAGGTTCGAGCCCTGGTCCAGGAAGATCTCACATGCTGCGGGACAACTAAGCCCGTGCACCACGACTACTGAGCCCACGAGCCACAACTACTGAAGCCCGCACACCTAGAGCCTGTGCTCTGCAACAAGAGAAGCCACTGCAATGAGAAGCCCACGCACCACAAAGAAGAGTAGCCCTCGCTCGCAGCAATTAGAGAAAAGCCCGTGCAAAGCAACAAAGACCCAACACAGCCAAAACCAAATATAAATAAATAAGGAATGCAGTGAAACATCCAACCCAGAATATTCCTACGAGTGCTGACCTAACTTTGTGGTGGGGGTCAGAAATTTGTGTGAATTTCATGACTGTGACCACACTAATCTGTTTTCCAGTTCTATGGAAGTGTCTTCGCAGAGTTACGTGTAAAAAGGGTTGTTTCAGGAGAAAGACAAGAGGAGATTATATATATATATATATTTTATACATATACATAATGTGTATATATGTATTAATGTATATAAACATATATACACACATACACATACATATATAATGTGTGTATATATTAATGTAATACGCACATACATATATATGTATGTATAAATACATGTGCATGCGTATGTGTGCACATGCACACACACAACACACAAACACATACACTTTTGTAACAAGAAACCTAGGATGGATAACCAGAAACTATGGGGGCTGAATGGGAATGAAGTGGTAGAGATGGTGAGGAAATGATGTTTCTGTGGCTTACCTTTTGGCATAGTTTTGATTTGGGAACCCCTGTCGATGGTTTACATATTCATAAAGAAAATTAAATCAACAAGGATAGGGGAGAGAACTAAAACCAAATACAAACAGAAGCAAGTGAAACTAACTCTATTTCAAACAAAGAACAGAACCACAAAGAAGACCAAAAAAATAGGAACTAATCCCAGTGACTTCTGAATACAATGATGTGAGATAGATAAATAGATAGATACCGATGCCTTCAGAGAACAAAACAATCGGCAAACAAATCTTGAACGCTCAGGTTCAGGGGGTGTTAGTACAGCTATAGCAATTCTGAACCTCTCTTATGTGTTTTGTAGGATTGAACAAGTGAGTACGTATATAAACGCTGTTGGGAGCCAAGGTTCCCACTGTGGGGAAGAAAAAGATAAAATAGGGAAGGTTCAGGAATAACCCAGTGGTGATGGATTGGAATGAGAGGCACCGACATGAATTCACAATTTTAAAATATGTGCGTGTGTTTCCTAGCTCTCTCCAGAGAAAGGGCCTTAAGGCAGGGACACCCCAGGAGCAGTGAGGACTCCTAGTGCCTGTAATTTGGTTTCTCAGCACCAAGAGAATAGGAAGAAGCAGGACTCCATGGAGAAACTTGAGAGTTAAGGCTGATCAAGTACAAGAAAATCTGGACTATCTTCCTGTGCCAGCAAGTAAGGAAGTGTTCAAAAAAAAAAAAAAAAAAAAAGATGGGCTTGTCAAAAGGACAGAGAAGCCAGCTTGAGGGGGCTCCCACCAGCCAAATCTGAGACAATCTGAACATCATGATGAGCACTATGGATTATACCCATAGAATAAAGTAAGAATACATGAATGCTTACTGATAACCCATAAATATACTTAAGAAGTTCTTCCTTAAGTAAAATGCCAACTTATAAATAAAGAAGAAATGAGAGAGAAGAATCACCATTTGGTAGCCATTACAATAATAATTATCCAGGCAAAAATCATTAAGGGATGCTAGAACAATTGCGTGAAAATGTATCAGGGAACAGGATATTTACATAGTCTCAAAGAACCTCCCTGGACTCAGTCATTACAAAGAGGAAAACTCTATATTGGAGAAACCTGGCTGACCAAGCAATCAAAGTCAACGTTACTAGTTATGGGACAAACTTACATTATATGCTTACTGATATAATGCCCGCAAATGACACAATACCACCTCTGTGATATTCCACCAAAAATGCACAACTTGAATCTAATCATGGAGAAAGATCAGATAAATCCACATTGAGGGATGTCGGTCGCACAGCACAACTGGCCTGGATGCTTCCAAAATGTCAAAGTCATGGAGACAAAGAAGGGCCGAGGGGGACTTCCCTAGTGGCACAGTGGTTAGGAATCCGCCTGCCAATGCAGGGGACACGGGTTTGATCTCTGGTCTGGGAAGATCCCACACGCCACGAGCCACAACTACTGAGCCTGTGCTCTAGAGCTCACGAGCCACAACTACTGAGCCCGTGTGCCACACCTACTGAAGACTGCGTGCCTAGAGCCCATGCTCTGCAACAAGGGAAGCCATCACAATGAGAAGCCTGCACGCTGCAACGAAGACCCAACGCAGCCAAAAGAAGGGCCGAGGGACTGTTCCAGATGAATGAGGCCAGGACAACCAAATGCAATGTGGGATCCTGGCCCAGAGCCTAGAGCAGGATAATTAAATTAGCTATAAAGGACATTGTTGGAACAATCATGAACTTTAAATATGGACTGCTTAGAACTGTAACAATGTTCAGTGCCCTTGGGTAAGGGCACTTTGTTTATATAAGAAAATGGTCTTGTGCTTAGGAAATACACACTGAAGTTCTTAGGACCATAACGTCTGCATCGTACTCTCAAATAGTTCGGCAGTTGTGATAATAAATTATTTTCAGTAAAACTAATTACACACACACGGAGACAGACAGAGAGAGAGTAAATTTGGCAAATTATCAATCTTGGTGAAGGATATATAGTTCTTTGTACTATTCCTGCACCTTTTCTGCAAATTTGAAATTATTTCAAAGGAAAGCTTAAAGAAAGAGAGAGGGAGAGAATAAAGGAAGGAAGGGAGGTGGAAGGAGGGAGGGGGGATTCTTCAAAGGACTTCAAAGGTTATTGAGAAACCCATGGAATGTAAATGGTCCTGCCTGCGCCTTGGTTGCCCTGGGTGATAACACTCAAAGTGACATCTCTGCTTTCTGCAAATCTCAATGAGGCTGCTTTCTTTGCTGGGGGTAGCCCGGAACATTCTCAGTTCTCCATTCCCTCTGGACTAAAGTAAACCTATGGCTCCGGGTCATTCCGTACTTGAGGCCCGAGTGTTGGAGAAAGTAGGATGACTCTTGCATCCTCCCCTCCACTCCAGCTGGGCCAAGGGGTCCTGGGCTTCAGGGCCACTGACCTTCTGCAGCTTGTGGTCCACATTCAGATAGCGGTTCCTCTCAATCTGCAGGAGATCCAGCTCCTCCCGCAAGGTTGCATTCCGAACCAGCTGGATGTCAAAGCGACAGGTGACCTGGGATGGGGGTGGTGGTGTGGAAGAGGATGCCAAGAGTCTGTCTGAGGCCTGGCCTGCCTCTCTCTTCCACTCTCAGCTGAGAAGGGGGCACTTGTCAGGTAGGGGGCCCATTCCCAATTTGGGGGCTCTGAGAGCATCGCCACCCCCCGCCAAGACCCAAGCATCAGTCTCCTTTCCTGGGGGACCCTCCATCCCTCCAGGATCTTGTCTACTAACCCCACTTAGGGAACCCACTATTTTAGGCCACTCTGCATCCAGGAATCTGGTCCACCGTTTCTGAAACTTGACTCCCATGCTCAGTTCTTCCCCCAAGAGTTCAGGTTGGGAGACAGCCAAGGGGCTGACCCTCACCCTGTCCAACTGGTCTTCAAGGATCTTGACCCTTCGCTGGCTCTTGACCTTCTGATCCAGGATGCATCCCGAGGCCTTGACATCCTTCCCATGGGCAAAGACCCGGCTCTCCCATTCCTGGATCTGGAAGAAAGAACATGGTGCCTATTTGTTGACTGAATGCAGGAGAGACTGAGGGAATGAGGGAGATGAGAGGGAGGGTGAGTGACTGAGCGTGGTTGACATCTGTGGTCCTTGTGGCCCCAGCCATCTGCTGTACCCCTCTTCTGAGGTGAGTACCCAACCTTCCACGTGGATCTGACTTCCAACCATAACGAGCCGCCCTGCCGGCCACATGACCCAGGTCCAAACAATCCATTTAGAGATGGACGTGTGACCCAAGCTGAGCCAGCCTGAATCCTTTCCTGGTATTTTGGGAGAAATGTGTGATCTGGATGGATGGGACGCCACACACAGTAGACAAAGTGGAGACAAGAGTCTGAGAGTGAGACAGGCTGGGACCTGGGACCCTTTGCTGCAGGGCCTGCACCTGGACAAATGTCTCCTCGGGCAACAAAATACAAAGGAACTATAAGGGACTAAAAATAACTGCGTGCATGCGCAGTTACGGCAAATTCTGGACAAGAATGTACAAAAAGACCAAAAGAACCCAGCTGCCACTTCTGAAGAGTCAGGAGCAAAAACAGGGGCTCGGGAGCAAAAGCAAGGTACTACGCGTGCCCCCTGCAGTACACCACCAGAGGGGTGGGCAAAACACCTAAGCCATTCCTCTGGCCCAACCCGTGGACACACCCCTACTGTCACCCCATAGAAGGGACAAGCTCGCCCCACCTCTGGGAGGGAACCTGTTACTTGTTTTCGCTCCCTGCTGCTGCAGCAGGGGCCCCAGTAAAGGCCTGTCTGAATCTCTTGTCTGGCCTCTAATCAATTTCTACTGACTGGGGAAGGCCAAGAATCCTGGTCAATACCAAGAGGAGGGGAGGAAGAGCCCTGATGCCTGAAACCAACTTCCAACCTACCCTTCTCATTCCCGTATCCATCTTGACTTGTTTGGGGTATGCTGTCTTCCCAACTAGATTGGAAACTCCACGAGGGCGGATTTTTATCTTTTCTGTGCTTGACACAGAGTTGGCATGCGACAAAACATGCAGACTAAATGAATAAATGAATTGCTTGATACTGTGTTTCCCAATTTGTGCACCACTATGGGTTGAATTGAGTCCCCTGTAAATCCGTACATTGAAGTGCTAATCCCCAGAACCTCAGAATGTGACCTTATTTGGAGTCAGGGTTTTTACAGAAGTAATCAAGTTAAAATGAGGTCACTGGGTTGGGCCCTAATTCTACACGACTGGAGTCTTTATAAAAAAGGGGAAATTTGCAGACATGCCAACCGGGAGAATGCCAGATGAAGGTGAAGACAGATGTGGAATCTTAAAACTGTAACAAACTAGTGAAAATAACAAAAAGAAGCAGACTCACAGATATAGCGAACAAACTAGTGGTCACCAGTGCAGGGGGAGAGGTAATACAGGGGTGGGGAGTGGGGGGTACAAACGATTGGGTGTGAAATAGGCTATAAGGATGTGTGTGTTGTACAACACGGGGGATATAGCGAATATTTTGTAATAACTGCAAATTGAGTATAACCTTTAAAATTGTATTACAAAATTTTTTAAAAGAAAAGAAACGATGAACGCAGAGATTGGAGTGATGCATCTACACACAAAGGAATGCCAAAGATTGCCAGCAAACCACCAGAAGCTAGGCAAGACGCACAGAGCAGATTCTCACAGCCCTTAAAAGGAACCAACCCTGCCGACATCATGATTTTGGACTTCTGGCCTCCAGAACTGTGTGACAATAAATTTCTGTAGTATAAGCCACCCAAAGAAACGAATACATGCGCCAAGGCACCCCAGAGCATTGCAGCAAACTCAAAGGGGCAACCACGGGGATATTTTAAAATTTGAGGGAGACACATTGACATTGGTCAGACACCACATGAACCTGGAGCTCAAGGTAGTTCCCAGGTTCAACGTGAGACGGTGCTACATTCCTTTTGATGACGTCCCATCTTTCTTTGTTGTTGTTGTTGTTTTGTTTTGGGGGTTTTTTTTTTAACCACGCCACATAGCATACGGGATTTTAGTTCCCTGACCAAGGATTGAACCAGTGCCCCTTGCAGTGGAGGCGCAGAGTTATAAACACTGGACCACCAGGGAAGTCCAATGTCACATCGTTCGTTCTTTTTCTTTTTTTTATATTTATTTAGGCTGCCCCGGGTCAGTTTCAGCACGCGGGATCTTCTCTGTGGCATGTTTTTAGTTGCGAGATGCGGGCTCTTAGTTGCAGCATGCGTTGTGGGATCTAGTTCCCCGACCAGGGATCGAACCCAGCCCCCCTGCACTGGGAGTGTGGAGTCTTACCCACTGAACCACTAGGGAAGTCCAATGTCACATCTTTCTGAAACTGAGTTTTTAGCAGTTGCTGTGATAAAAATCAAATACCCCAAAATGGTACCATTGGGGGAAACTAAGCAAAGCGTACAGGGACTCTCTCTGTATTATTTCTTCAAACCACAGGTGAATCTACAATTACCCCAGTAAAATTTTCAATTAAAAAAAAAAAGTACTGCACAGAAATCAGCGTGGAATGAGAGTGGTGAGTCCACTCTGACTCCAAGATCTGAAAAGTTGCAAAGTGGCCAATAGGCACAAACGTGCCACAGGTAATTGTGGTTTTTAAGAATGAAACACAATTTTTTTCAATTTATGTATATTATTTTTTCAAATGGTTTCTAGGTTGTTAGGATGCAAACATTTATTGGGTTGTTTGGTCCAAACTGCTATAATAGAGCTGTTAGCAGTGCGATACTGGGGCCCCCTTGGACAGCTCTTGAGAGCTGATTGTTACATTTTCAGGAATTACATGAGTTAAATTGTTGGTAGTTTGAAATTGACCATTATATTAGTTTTCCATTTCTGCAGAAAAATTACAGTCGCCCTTCAGTGTCCACAGGGGATTAGTTCCAGGACTCCCCTCAGATACCAAAATCCAAAGATGCTCAAGTCCCTTATATAAAATGGCATAGTATTTGCATATAACCTACACACAACCTCCTGTATACTTTAAATCATGGCTAGATTACTTATAATATCTAATACAATGTAAATATTATGTAAGTAGTTGTAAATACAGTGTAAGTGCTATGTAAATAGTTGCTGGCCCCGAAAATTCAAGTTTAACCTTTGGAAATTTCTGGAATTTCTTTTTTTTTTTTTTTTTTAATATTTTCCATCCTTGGTTTGTTGAATCCACATATACAGAACCCGTAGATATGGAGGGCCAACTGTACCACAAACCTTGTGGCTTAAAACAACACCCATTTATTATCTTGAAGTTTCCATGGGTCAGGAATGTGACACAGCTCAGATGGAACCTCTGCTCAGGACTCACAAAGCTGCAATCAAGGGGTCACCAGGGCCACGGTCTCATCCAGGACTCACCACGTGGCTGATGGCAGAATTCAGTTCCTTGTGGTTGCAGGACTGAGGCCCTCAGCTCCTAGGAGCCCCCAGAAGTTCCCTGCCATGTGGCCCTCTCCACAGCATGGCAGCTTCCTCAGTCTACTATGGTGCAGTATTAAATAGCATAACCGGGCTTCCCTGGTGGCGCAGTGGTTAAGAATCTGCCTGCCAGTGCAGGGGACACAGGTTCGAGCCCTGGTCCAGGAAGATCCCACATGCTGCGGAGCAACTAAGCCCGTGCACCACAACTACTGAGCCTGCGCTCTAGAGCCTGTGAGCCACAACTACTGAGCCCGCGTGCCACACCTACTGAAGCCCACGCGCCTAGAGCCCGTGCTCCGCAACGAGAAGCCACTGCAGTGAGAAGCCCACGCACCGCAACAAAGAGTAGCTCCCGCTCGCCACAACTAGAGAAAGCCTGTGTGCAGCAACAAAGACCCAACACAGCCAAAAAAATGTAAATAAATAAATAGCATAACCTCATCAAGGGAGGGACAACCCATCACCTGTGCCAAATTCTGCCGTCACCGAGTTCTGCTGCCACTGAAGGGGAGGGGATTCTATAAGGGTGTGACTCACTGGGGGTCATGATAGGGTATGTTCACCTCAGCCTAGATGAGAACGTTGATGTTATGAAAATCAGAAAATGCTCATTGTAAATCAACTATACTCTAATATAAAATTAAAAAAAAAAAGAAAATGCTATACATCAGGGTGCTTTCCCCCGCTAATTGCTGGTTTCCCAGCACACCCCTGTTAGATGTTTCTTTGGGGGCTAAAAATTTTACTAAGAAATTAAGGGCTCCAGGAACAAAGAAAGTTTAGGTGAGATAGGCTGGGACCTGGGACCCTTTACTGGAGTGCTTGTACTTGGACCTGGACAAACGTCTCCTCCAGCAACAGAATACAAAGAAACTATAAGGGACTAAAAATAACTGCATGCGTGTGCAATCAGTGGGGCAATTATGAACAATAAGACAAAAAATGGCCACAAACCAACTGCCACTTCTGAGGTGCTGGGAGCAAAGGCAGGGTACAGCTCATGATGCCTGCACACAGCACCACCAAGGGGGTGGGCAGACCGCCTAAGCTTCGCCTCCTGCCCAACCTACCCGTTCACCCTACCCTCACCCCATTTAAGGAATAGATTCACCCCACCCTTTGGGGAGCAAGAAAGGGAACCTGTTACTTGTTTTTGCTCCCTCATCCCAGCAAAGCCTTGCCTGAATTCCTGGTCTGGCCTCTTATCAATTTCTATTGATTAAAGGGTCCAGTCTTGGGAATTCCCTAGTGGTCCAGTGGTTAGGACTCGGTACTTTCACTGCCGAGGCCTGGGTTCAATCTTTGGTCGGGGAACTGAGATCCCGCAAGCCGCGTGGCACGGTTTAAACAAAAAAGCAAACAGATAATATGCATTTTAAAAAATAAATAAATAAAAAATGAAGATTCCAATATTTGGCCACTGAAAAAGCTTGTGCAGTGTTGGGGGGAAAAAAAGAGTCCAAGGATCCGAGTCAATAACATAGGTAGTTCAAGAAATTCTTCCCAAGATTAGAAAACACTTTCCTTCAATTTTTAAAAGTATTCAAATTT